CATAGCTTATTGCAACCTAAACTCAAGCGATCCTCCCACCTCAGCCTCTTGAGTAACTGGGACCACAGGCATGTGCCACCATGCCTGGCTAATTAAAACAAATTTTTTTAAAGAGTTGAGGTCTTGTTATGTTGCCCAGGCTGGTCTCGAACTTTGGGCTCAAGTAGTCCTCCTGCCTCGGCCTCCCAAAGTGCTAGGATTACAGGTGTGAGCCACTGTGTCTGGCCTATTTTCTGGATCTTGTCTTTTACATTTATAATAAAGGATCTTGACCCTTGAACAATGTGGAGATTAGGGGCACTGACCCTCCACATAATAAGAAATCTACTTATACTGTTTGATTCCTTAAAAACTTAACTAAAAGCCTACCATAAATACTTGGTTAACTGTACTTTATATATTATATACTGTATTCTTAAAGTAAGAGAAATGTTATTAAGAAAAATCATAAGAAAAAATACATTTACTGTTCATTAAATACATTTATTGTTCATTAAGTGGAAGTGGATCCATCATCCATCACGAAGGTCTTCATCCTTGCGTTTTTCACAGTGAGTAGGCCGAGGAGGAGGAGGAGGAAAGGGAGAGGTTGGTCTTGGTATCCAGGGGCTGGTAAAGGCAGAAGAAAATTTGTATGTAAGTGGAACTGCACATTTCAAACCCCTGTTGTTCAAGGGTCAAGTGTATATAAAGAGCTCCCAGTAATATTAATAAGCACAAGGCAGACAACCTATAGAAAATTGGATAAAGGACAGTAAACAGACTTTTGACAGCAGAAAAACAGAAATGCCTAAAAACATGACAGATGCCTAGCCTCCTTAGTAATCAGGGAAATACAAATTAGAACAGTAAGGTATTTTTCATCCATTGATTGGCACAAATTACACAGTGGTAATATCTGGTGTGACTAAGGGTGTATTCCTAAGATTCTCTCATGCACTGCTGGTGAAAGTACATGCTAGCACAGGCTTTGGAGGGTAATGATAGCAATAGATATTCTTATTCGGTAATCTGTCTGCTTACCTAGCTTATAAAATATTTGCACATATGCATAGACATGTAAATATAAGGCTGTACACTGTAGCATTGTCATTAGAAAAGGGACTAACTTAAATGTCCATGTCTTTAGAAATAGATCATATAAGATCTTATTAAAGGTCTGCAAAATTATAGCTACATAATAATCTAAGAAGGAATCCAATCCATTTTGACAGCATCTATTCCAAATTCTTTGTATTTTTATTATATTATACTTTAGTTTTAAAGAAAAAAGGAAATATTATCTGTAAAACCTTACTGGAAATACACTAGCATAGGTATTATGCCTATACTATGAAACATTACTCAGCTTTAAAAAGAATGGCCTAGATCTACATGTATATATGGAAAGGATTTCTGAGGCTCAGTTAAATGAAAAAATTAAGCTGCAATGTATGTATATTATAACACCATTAGTATAACAGCAAACGCAAATGCTGTTTTACAGGTGTACACTAATACATATAAAGGTATAGAAAAACTTACGGGAGGATAACAGCCAGTTACCAGGTTTCCTTTGGGTTGGGAAGTAAAACTGGGGGCAGGGAGACATCCTCCCTATCCTTTGTATTTGAGTTTTTACCAAGAAAAGTGTTCATGATTAATTTTATAATAAAAAAGGTAAAGTATATTAACTATTCTTTCCAAATAAAAGTCTTTGAGAAAATGATTAAAAGCAACTAAATTAGAGGTTGTGAGAAATTATTCTTAAACAGTCCATGACTAGCAAATTTTTTATATGGGAGGATTCAAATACTTGTGTGTGATCTCAAAGACTAATGGTATTTCATAATAATAATCTTCATGTATCTGAAACAAAAATGAATTAGACATAAATGAGGGCTCTGGAGTCCTGGGGCCTGTGGCTGAGCCTCCCCCACTTATTGCTTTTTTTTTTTTTTTTGAGACAGAGTCTTGCTCTGTTGCCCAGGCTGGAGTGCAGTGGTGCAATCTCAGCTCACTGCAAGCTCTGCCTCCCGGGTTCACGCCATTCTCCTGCCTCAGCCTCCCGAGTGGCTGGGACTACAGGTGCCCGCCACCACGCCCGGCTAATTTTTGTATTTTTAGTGGAGACGGGTTTCACCGTGTTAGTCAGGATGGTCTCGATCTCCTGACCTCGTGATCCACCCACCTTGGCCTCCCAAAGTGCTGGGATTAAAGGTGTGAGCCACCACGTCTGGCCAAAAAATGACTTTTTAATAGAAATTACTATGCTTAGTGAAATTTCTCAGATTTGAGGATTAGAGAGTCTTGAAAGAGTTCTTGTTTGAATGTTATGAGCCAATCAAAGTTATCTGCGTTGTTCCGTAATGAACCTCCCTTCTTAGATCCAGAAAAGATCTTCATGGTCCTTGGGTCCACCTCCATTTTTTTTTTTTTTTTGGGGGGGTCGGAGTCTTGCTCTGTTGCCCAGGCTGGAGTGCAGTGGTGCAATCTCAGCTCGCTGCAAGCTCTGCCTCCCGGGTTCACGCCATTCTCCTGCCTCAGCCTCCCGAGTGGCTGGGACTACAGGTGCCCGCCACCACGCCCGGCTAATTTTTGTATTTTTAGTGGAGACGGGTTTCACCGTGTTAGTCAGGATGGTCTCGATCTCCTGACCTCGTGATCCACCCGCCTCGGCCTCCCAAAGTGCTGGGATTACAGACGTGAGCCACCGCGCCTGGCCACCTCCATTTTATATAATATTTCTTTTTCTTTTTTTTTTTTAAATTCCCAACGCCAATTTTTCTGAAATTTTATATATTTTTGAGTTAAAAAATTTAAATTGTAAAAGTAATGTATATTCATCTTGGAAAATACCAAAAGATATGAAGGAAAAAAAAATCACCCACAATCTTACCACATAAAGACAGCTAAGGCATTAGCATATTTCCTTTGATTTCCATGTGCTGTAATTTAAATTTGTCTCATTTTGTGCAGTTGGAACAATATTATACAAACGTATTATACAAACGGTTTTATATATTTCTCATTTGTAACATTGCTTTTTTTTTTTTTTTTGAGACGGTGGAGTTTCACTGTTGTTCGCCCAGGCTGGAGTGCAATGGTGCGATCTTGGCTCTCCACAACCTCCACCTCCTGGGTTCAAGCTACTCTTCTGCCTCAGCCTCCTGAGTAGCTGGGATTACAGGCGTGCAGCACCATGCCCGGCTAATTTTGTATTTTTAGTAGAGGTGGAGTTTCGCCATGTTGGCTAGGCCGGTCTCCAATTCTTGACCTCAGGTGATCTGCCTGCCTTGGCCTCCCAAAGTGCTGGGATTATAGGTGTGAGCCACTGCACCCAGCCGTACCATTACTTTTATCTGTTATAACTCTATAAATATATACATTTTGGTGACCACATTATATATATATATATAGTTTTTTTTTTTTTTTTTGGAGATAAGTTTTCACTATGTCACCCAGCTGTGCAGTGATGTGATCAAACACCTTGACTCGAATGATCCTCCTACCTCAGCCTCCCCTGAGTAGCCGGGGCTATGCGTACGCTCCATTACACCCTGCTAGTTTCTTAATTTCTTTTTTTTTTTTTTTTTTGAGACAGAGTTTCATTCTTGTTGCCCAAGCTGGAGCACAGTGGCATGATCTTGGCTCACGGCAACCTCTGCCTCCTGCGTTCAAGTGATTCTCCTGCTTCAGCCTCCCAGGTCGCTGGGATTACAGGCATGCACCAGTACGCCTGGCTAATTGTGTATTTTTAGTAGAGATGGGGTTTCTCCATGTTGGTCAGGCTGGTCTTGAACTCCTGACCTCAGGTGATCCACCTGCCTTGACCTCCCAAAGTGTTGGGATTACAAGTGTGAGCCACCACGCCCAGCCTACCCTGCTAGTTTCTAAAAAATGTTTTGTAGAGATGGGTTCTTACTATGTTGATCATACTGCTCCCATCTTTTGATAAGTTTCAGTTTATGCTTTTATAAATAATGCCAGATTTTTATTCCTGGAACTTCTTACCTATTTCTGATTATTGCCTTAGATTTTAGATTTAGATGTTAGAGTCTCTTGATAAATAATGCAACAAAACTGCTTTGGAAACCATAACCTTTATTTGAACGATGACATGACACACTGCTTGCAGAACGAGCCTGGGGCAGGAATCTCCTGAGTCCTGAACCTGCTTTCTCTTTTGTAATCTTCTGCCTTCTCTTGGGATTTAAGCAAAAGATCAGAGGTTCTTTCTTTAATTACAGTGTTTCCTGCAAGCAAATGAAAGGTGGAAATCCAAGGCAGAAATGTGCACTTGCTCTTCTGTTTGCTGTGGACTCTATGAGAAGGTCTCGTGTTTGTGTAGCATTTCAGCTCCTGCCTTTACAGCTGAAGTAACACCAAACCACAGAACATGTAAAAATGTTTTCCTTACATATAAATATTCCTATTTATGATTTATTGTGCCACCTTTTAAAATTAATGAGTAACATTGTTACATGTGATGGGCAGGGCTTCACGCCCTCATGTAGGCTTTTCAGGGTCTCCACACTTACCCACTTTTCCAGTCCACTCCCCTGCCTCCTCTTCTTCCCCACCCACTGTGCGGTGGTGGTCCATTGGAACTGGCAGTCTACTTTGCCACTCCTCCCTGCCATGAAATTATATGGAGTCTTTCCTCCTGAGCCAGCACTCCCCTGCCCCACATAGAATCTGGAAGTCCCCCTCCTTCTATGAGACCAGCTTCCAGAAGCCTTCCAGCACCCTCTGCAGCAGCTGTCAGTGTCCTGCCCAGAGACAATTGCTTCCTGCCCTGAGGTTCCACACACTAATGTGGCACTTGCCTTGCTGAATGCTGTGTTTGCTCTTCAGTCTATCTTCATCACTAGACGGAGAGCAACTCTGCGATGGGGTCTGCACCTTGTTAATTTCTGTATCTTCTGCAGAACACCTGCCACTTAAAAGATATTCGTTGTTCTTTGGTCACTAAATTAGGTGAGAGTTCAGGCCTGATGTTCTCTGTGGCTTTGTTGCAGGTCTTTCTGTCTGAGTGGAAGGAGCACAAAGTTGCTCTCTCACGACTTACCAGCCTGGAGATGAAAGATGATTTCCTCCATGGACTGCAGATGCTGAAATCTCTACAAGGCGCACATGTTGTCACGCTGCTTGGCTATTGTGAGGATGACAACACTATTCTTACTGAATATCACCCTCTAGGTTCCTTGAGTAACCTGGAAGAAACACTAAACCTTTCAAAGTACCAAAATGTGAACACGTGGCAGCACAGGCTGCAGCTGGCCATGGACTATGTCAGCATCATTAATTACCTGCACCACAGCCCCATGGGCACACGGGTGATGTGTGACTCCAATGACCTGCCCAAGACACTGTCTCAGTATCTGCTGACAAGCAACTTCAGCATTTTGGCAAATGACTTGGATGCCTTACCCCTGGTGAACCACAGCTCCGGGACACTGGTGAAGTGCGGCCACAGGGAGCTGCATGGGGATTTTGTGGCTCCAGAGCAACTGTGGCCCTACGGAGAGGACATGCCTTTCCGTGATAATCTCATGCCCTCATATGACGAGAAGATTGACATTTGGAAGATCCCAGACATCTCCAGTTTCCTTCTGGGGCACATTGAAGGGAGTGATATGGTCCGATTCCATTTGTTTGATATTCACAAAGCATGCAAGAGCCAGACTCCCTCAGAAAGACCCACTGCCCAGGACGTTCTGGAGACCTACCAGAAGGTCTTGGATACACTTAGAGATGCTGTGATGTCTCAGGCAAGAGAGATGCTGTGAAAACCAGTCCAGCCAATGAAGGTGGGATTGAAGGGCTGAATGGAAGTTATAGCATTCTACTCTGATGGTGGAGTTTTTTGCCTGAGTTTCGTGTTTTATTGTTTTTTTTTTTTTTTTAATGGCTTAGCCATGTGGTTGTTTGTCCACATCCACATGTACATTTGCATGTGTTCCACATTGGTTGTTAGATTTTTTTTTTTTTTTTTGAGATGGGGTCTCGCTCTGTTGCTGAGGCTGGCATGCAGTGGTGTGATCTCGGCTCACTGCTGCCTCTGCCTCCCAGGTTCAAGCAGTTCTCCCACTTCAGCTTCCTGAGTAGCTGGGATTATAGGCACACCACCACGCCTGGCTAATTTTTGTATTTTTAGTAGAGACACGGTTTTGCCATGTTGGCCAGGCTGGTCCCGAACTCCTAACTTCCTTGGCCTCCCAAAGTGTTGGGATTACAGGCGTGAGCCACTATACCTGGCCAGTTGTTAGATTTCCATGGATTTGTAGTTTCCAAAGTTTCTCGTTATTGATTTCTACTTTTCTTCCATTGTGGTCTGAGAAGGTACTTGATATGATTTAGATTTTTAAAAATTTATTGAGACTTGTTTTGTGGTCTAACATGGTCTATGCTAGAGAATGGTCCATGTGCTGATGAGAAGAATGTATATTCAGCTGTTGGAAGAAAGGTTCTGTAAATGTCTGTTAAGTCCATTTGGCCTATAATGCAGATTAAGTCTGATGTTTCTGTCTAGATGATCTGCCCAGTACTGAAAGTGAGGCATTAAAATCCCCAGCTTTTTTTTGTATTAGGATCTGCCTCTCTCTTTAGCTCCAATAGTGTTTGTTTATATATGTGAGTGCTTTGGTATTGGGTGCATATACATTTAAAATTGTCGCATCCTTTTGCTGAATTGATCCCTTTATCATTATGTAATGATCTTCTTTGTCCCTTTTTATGTTTTCTGACTTAGTCTATTTTGTATAAGTATTGCTATTCCTGCACATTTTTGTTTTCAATTTGCATGGAATATTTTTTTCTGTTTGTTCACTTTCAGTCTATATATGTTTTTAAATGTGAAATGAGTTTGTTATGGGTAACATATAGTTGAATCTTGTTTTTTTTAAATCCATTCAGCCAGTCTATGTATTTTAATTGGAGAATTTAAATTATTTACATTCAAGGTTTTTATTGATAGGTGAGGACTTAATCCTGTGCTTTTAATTGTTTTCTGATTGTCTTGTATATATATTTTTCCTATCTTTTTTTTTTCTTTTTTTATTTTGAGACAGAGTCTTGCTCTGTCTTCAGGCTGGAGTGCAGTAGCGGGATCTCGGCTCACTGCAGCCTCCACCTCCCAAGTTCAAGCGATTCTCCTGCCTGAGCCTCCCAAGTAGCTGGGATTACAGGTGCCCACCACCACACCCAGCTAATTTTTGTATTTTTAGTAGAGACGGCATTTCACCTATCTTCTTTTGTATTGTTTACAATTTGGTGGGTTTTTTTTTTAATACTCATAATGTTTGATTCCTTTTTCTCATTTGTGTTTCTGCTCTACTAGTGAGTTTTAAGACTTTGTGTGTTTTCATGATGGTAGATACCATCCAGTCTATTTGAAGATCAGATGAGATTGGGCACGTTCAGGGTGGTATTATTGTGGGAATGAAGGAGGACTAGAGAGACCATGGGGGTGAGACAGGAGGATTTTTATCGAGTGCACTCAGACCCAGCTGATTAACATGCAAAAACTGGGCCCAGAACAAAGACAGCACTTGACTTTTATACCCACTTCTAAAAGGGGTTGGGCTAGCTTGAAACAAGCTTACAGTGGCACGAAGCAAAGATACAGAGGCAGAACAAAAGCAGCTAATCAAACTGTGACAGGTTCATGACCCAGGATTACATATGACCCTTGCTATGCAGCTCGGATGGCTAATTTTTTGTATCTTTAGTATAGACGGGGTTTCATTGTGTTCACCAGGATGGTCTCGAGCTCCTGATCTCATGATCCACCCACCTCGGACCTCGTGATCTGCCCACCTCAGCCTCCCAAAGTGCTGGGATTACAGGTGTGAGCCACCGCACCCAGCTAGTTTTTTTTTAAACTAAATTATCATTAATGTTAAAATTTAACTGACTGTGTATATAATTGTGCAATTGCTGCTTTCTCACCAAACTATCTAGGATTCATTCAACAGATCACAGAAATGAGGTCTGGCATTTAACAGACTAATGATAGAAGAAATATACTGATTTATACAGGAATATCAAAACACTGTCATGTGGTTTAGTGTAGCTCAAGTTATAAATAAGTGCCAACTCTTGCTGCAGTGTCTCCGACACAATTTTATCTTGGAACTTGGCAATGTGACTTTCTTCACTGAAAGAGTTCTTTCATGATACTCTTCATGAGTTGCTCATATAGCAGCTTAATCTCTTTCATTTGCTCTCTCCTAACAATGCTAACTTGTTGCCACCTCTTTTGTTGCTCTCGAAATATTTTAGTTTTTCTTCTCTCCTCAGTCTTCTACATGTCTGTGTTGTATTCTTGAAGCAAAGTCAGCAACTGCATAGAATATCTATAATTACGTTTCTGCCTTTTATGTTCTCAAAATATCATTCAGTTATGTTCTTGGTTTTGATGCAAGCTTTTGTATACTTTTGAAGCCTTTTTCTTTTTGCAGCAAGACCCTGTTTAATGGCAGCTGCAATTAGTTGTAGCTTCTCTACATCAACCCCCTTGTCTTCCTCATCTGTTTCTGCAAAAGGTTTTCTTTCCCTGTGCTCATTAGTTTCTGGATCCTTTTCTCCATGTTCCATTTCCTGGGTGGCTGTGACCTGAGCCTCCAACTGGACCTTGGCAGCCCTCCTGTTGCTCCTCCTGCCTTGGGTGCAATTGCTAGTTGTCCTGGGATGCCAGAGGTGACTTGATGGTGCTCCCTCAGAGGCTCTGTATAATGCCGCACTATGAGGCTCCTCTGAGGGCCTGGGGTCCTCCTTCCCTCAGTTTTTACTTATCTGGGAAGGACTTTATCTGTCCTTCAATTTTGAAGGATAGCTTTACTTAGTTTAATATTCTTGGCTGGCAGTTTTTAAAATTTATTTCAGCACTGTAATATATATTATTCCATTCTTCCCTGACCTGTAAGGTTTTGTTTTTTTGTTTTTTTTTTTTTTAATAGGAAAGTCTTATAAGTGACTTGATGCTTCCCTTTTGCTGTTTTTAGAATTCTGTCTTTGACTTGACAATTTGATTGTAGTGTGCCTTGCAGAAGACTTTTTTGGTTTGAATCTTTTTTGGGATTACTGAACATCCTGTATCTGGATGTCTGTATCTCTTGCAAGACTTAAGAAATGTTTGACTATTATTTTGCTAAATAGGTTTTCTATGCCTTTTCCCTTCTCTTTCCTGAAACACTCAGAATTTAAATATTTGTTTGGTCTGACTGGGTTATTTCAAAAGACCTGTCTTCAAGTTCAGAAAATCTTTGTGTTGCTTCATCTAGTGTATTTTTGAAGCTCTCAGTTGCATTTTTAAATTTTATTCATTGAATTTTTCAGTTCCAGGATTTGTTTGGTTATTTTTTTTAATCTGTCTCTGTTGAATGTCTGATTCAGATCATGAATTGTTTTCCTAATTTCTTTGTATTATCTGTGTTTTCTTGCAACTTGCTGAGTTTCCCTAAGATCATTATTTTGAATTCCTTTTCTGGCATTTTTATAGATTTCCTTTTCTTTTGAATCTGTTACTGGAGAATTATTGTGTCTCTTTGGCAGCATCAAGTTTCCTTGCTTTTTCATGTTTCTTGTGTCCTTACGTTGATATCTATTGAGCTAGTGGAATAGTTGCTTCTTCCAATTTTATGGATTGGCTTTCATAAGGAAAGACTTTTTTGTAGGCGTATCTGTAGTTTTGGTTGTGATTAGGATGTTTTGGCTTTGATTTTGGTGAGCACAGTTGTATAGGCTCAATGATTTCTTCAGCTGTAACCAATGTCACTGGTGTCTGTGAGTCCTCAGTGGCTTAAGCTGCCATTGTTAGTTGAGGCTGTTGTGAGGCTTTTCTGGGGACAGGGATGCCAGAGGGGCCAGTCCCTGGGCCTTTTGGTGGCATGGGCAGGCTTTAGCTGTGTTGGCGATGGGCTGGGCCTGTTAGACCTCAGGACCCCAGCTGGCAAAAGTGCTGGTAGTTGGGGGGCCCAGGTGGGCTGGTCCTCAAGCCCCGAGGCAGTATTTTTGGTGCTGGCAGTGGCAGTAGCAGCAGTGGGCTAAACACTGGACCCTCAGGTGGCAATCACAGCTGTTGGCAGTAGCTGTGGCAGGATGAATGGGCCAGTTTCTAGCCCCTTAGGTGATGCACTTTGGTAGGCACTGGTGGTAGTAGGTGGGGCGGGCCTGTTCAGGCCTTGGGATTGTGTGTATGGGCACCAGTGGTGTTGGATGGGGTGGGCCAGTGCTCAGGCCCCCCTAGAGAGCATATAGGCACCAGTAGTGGCATGAGGGAAAGATGGCATCTGAGAACACTGGGGACAGTGGGTGGAGCAGGCCTGTCTTTAGGTTCTTGGATGGCACATATGGACACACTGGTCCTCAGGCCTCCTGAAGGTACACACAGGCGTGTTGTTGCCCTGCTGAGAGGGGCAAGGTTCTATTGGTGGCATTGGTGTTGGGAAGATGGCTCCCAGGTTCTGGGAGCTTCAGCTCCCTTTTTCCCGGGGACAGCCTCCCTGGTGTGCGCTACACTGCCTGTTCCCTGGGATATAAGACACTTCATGGGTCAGAATACTGGGGACCTGGCTGCACTGCTGGGTGATTGTGATACTGCAACCTTCTGGATGGATGTGGGAAGATGTTCTTGGGGGCCGCAGGGATGTAGACTGCAGGGGCTTATTGGACCCCAAGGCAGGATATAATCTGGTGGCGGCTAGGCTGTTAAAATGGTGCTGTGCCACAGCAGCATGTTTCTTGGGGTGTGAGTAGGATCCAATGGAATTCCCTTTCTGGAACAATGTATTTGCATGGATTCCAGGCAGCTCCGTATACTGGGCTCAGGGCCTGTGAAGGCTGACGGCATCC